CAACACGTGTATCGAAAGTGCCTACAAGCTTTGATCTATCCGATCAGCTGTACAACACCACATAATTTTCAAACAACCAATTTCCAAACTCCTACTTGGTGCTATGAATGTGAAGGATTGTTATGGGGACTGGCCAGACAAGGTAAAGCAAATTTTTTTGAGTTTTCAAAAAAAAATTTCATGAGTATTTTTCAGGTTTGCGCTGCACAGAATGTGGGGTCAAAGTGCATGAAAAGTGCCGGGAACTGCTCAGTGCCGATTGTCTACAGAGTAAGTCGTAGTCAAAAATTGAATCTTCAAAGAAATTCTGGAAAAACTCTGCAGGAGCTGCCGAGAAGAGCTCAAAACATGGTGAAGGTGAACGAATACAGTCGTTGGTGGCGGTTATACGAGATCGAATGAAAATACAGGAGAAGAACAAGCCTGAGATCTTTGAAACCATACGGTAGGATCCATTATAGTAAGGCTACCTCACCCTTGAAGATTTCACTCATTTTTAGTACTGTATTCGGTGTTGATGAACGGACACAACAAGAAACGCTGAAGCAAGTAAAGACCAGCATTCTTGAGGGTAGCAGTAAATGGAGCGCTAAGATAACTTTGACGGGTAAGTACTGTAATTTACAGTATCCTCTCTGGCTTGGAGATTATCGATCGATTCTTACAGTAATCTGTGCACAAGGATTGATTGCAAAGGATAAAACTGGCAAAAGTGATCCGTATGTGACAGCACAGGTGATTCTTTACAAGTTTTTTCCTCAATCTTTTCTAACCTCCCCCTCCCACGCATTTTTTTCGAAAGTGCGAGCAGTTTAGTTCAGCTCAAATTTTTACCAAAATGCTCTTATGAAAATGACATTGCGAGATTGATTTCTTAAGGCACATCATACGACTTGAGCACTCATAATCTATGTGAAATCTTTTTATTTTGCATTAGAATAAGAGCAAAAAGCAGAAGATGGATAATCGTCGGCTTGAATTTTGTCACTTTTGATCTTAAGTTGAGGTCAAAAATGTGAACAACATGCAGATAATCAAGTTTCCAAAGTGAACTTTTTTCTCTAGGAATCCTAATTTGAACTTTACCATATCGAAAGATCCGAGAATTCAAATGCTTCGCTGTTTTTATTAGTGTCATGCTAATTCTAGCTATTTCTAATCGAGCGAAGAAAATTGAGGCAAAAAATATATTAAGTGGTTTTTTTGGAGATTCTGGTAATTTGTGAGTTGAATTTGCAGTTTGGAGGGGAATTTTGCATATTGAAATATAAAATATAATCTGATGCTAGTAAAAAACGTTTTCTGCAGGTTGGAAAAGTAAAACGACGAACTCGGACCATTCATCAAGAGTTGAATCCTGTCTGGAATGAGAAGTTCTACTTGTGAGTATCCCATAGCTTTCGATTTCGTCTTTCATCTCTTTGAAATGATCCGCATTTACAGCGAATGCCACAACTCCACGGATCGCATTAAAGTACGTGTATGGGA